CTCTCCCTGGCTGCTCAGCATTCCCCTGATTACACTCAGCTGGTTCCTATGCAACCGGACTCATTGGTTTCCTGTCCTATCCGGTTCCTCAGCCTGTACCTTCCGGTTCTATTTCATCCCTACTGACCGCCAGAGGGCGGTGCTGAAAGCACTGAATGTTCCTTTCGCGCATGCGCTGTTCGAGCAATAATGTCAACAGAGTCACACCTGTGACACATCGGATGATCAATCAGAGGCTATATAGCATGACGTCATCCGAGGCTCAGTTCCTCTTTTCTTCTCGCGTGCGGTTCGTTTCGTATGGCATCAGCCTTTTTGGATTTCTGAATCTTTTGCCGTCGTTGGACGCCCGACTGTCTGTTGGCTGGAGTTGCGGGGTATCGCCCTCCGAGGGCTGCGACGGATCTTCATTTACGGAACTGTTTGTTGGTGATGACAGCGTTTCCGCCTCCTCTCCCGACTCACAGCTTAGCCCTACTGTGTTTGTAAACCTGTTGGAGTTTAGCTAACGGTGTTAGCCTTTCTAAGTTTGACGGTTTTGCTTTAATTGGTGACGGTAGCGTCTCGCCCCCTCTCCCAATTTTAGCTACCTTGTAAGCGGTTTGTTAATACTTTGATTGGTGACGGGAACCTTTTTTTTTGTCCCCTCTCCCAGTTTTATGTGGACCGCGTCTGCTGGTCTTTTCTGTAATTGGTGACGGTAGCGTCTCGCCCCCTCTCCCAATTTCAGCCAATTTTGTGATCGTAGCTTTGTGCTGGCCTTACCTGTTCTTCGTTTGCTGCTTAATTGGTGACGGCAGCGTTTTCGCTCCCCTCTCCCAGTTTAGTTTTCCTTTATTCTGGACATGGACAGCTCCCACTGTTGTTCGGATTGTGGAGCTGTGCTTCAGGCAGATGATGGTCATGACCTGTGCCCTGCCTGCCTCGGGCATGATCACCTGGTTGAGGCCCTGTCGGATAATCCCTGCATGAACTGCAGCTACATGCCCCATGCAGTGAAGGTGGCTCGACTGGCCCAGTTACGCCCCGAGTGTGGACATGACCTTCCACCTTCTGGGCAGGTGACTGCACCTAGGCGCTCTAAGCGCAGGACTGAGGCCACAGCCTCTGTGGCTCCTCCTAAGAAGAAGCGAGCTAAGTCTGACCAGGGCCTTTCCACAAGGTTTGAACGGTTGTCTGCAGAGTTGGCGGAGATGAAATCCCTTTTTCAAGCACGTCAGGTGGTGGCCCCCCTGACTGGGTTCCCTTCCCCACCTATGCCAGAGTTGGCTGTGGAGGACGAGGTGCTGTCTTTGGCTGCCTCTGCCTCTCACTTTGGGAATGAGGAAGAGGAGGCACAGTCGTCTCGCGCTTCGGAGACTGGCTCACACTCTTCATCTCAGAGTGCAGCTAGTGGGGCTGGTGACAGCTCGATACGAGACATCATGCGTATGGCCTTGAGACAACTGCAGCTGGATGTCCCGCAAGAGGTGGACTCCGCTCCTGGCAGTGCCTTTTTCAGGCGTGGCCGAGGCCCTACTCCCTTTTCTGTCCCTCCATCGGAGGAGTACCTCAGGGAGTTACATGCTTGTTGGCGGGACCCTAAAGCCTTTTCGAATCTCTCCCCAGATGGTCGAGCATTGGCAGCTATGCATGAGTCGGTCAAGGCGGGTTTGGACCGCATGCCTGCGGTTGAACCTGCTGTTGCTTCGCTCATCGTGTCTCCAGATGAAGCACTGCGTGATGATGTTCGGTGCCCACGGGCTCAATGTCGTTTTACAGATGACTTCCTCTGTAAGGCATATAATGCTGGAGCACGTGCCGGCCGCCTTGGCAATTCCTTGGTGCACCTCATGTTTGCACATTCTGCATCCCTTCAGGATACCAATGGGGCAGATGCAGCTATTGGCTTTAGCGATGCAGCGCTTCAGGCCTTTGCATTGATGTCCAAAGAGCTTGGGCGTGTGATGTCTTTTCTGGTCCAGGCTCGCCAACAGGTCTGGCTGGCTCAGTCCACGTTGACTGAAGCGTGCCGTAGGACCCTCTGCAGTGTTCCTGTTGTGCCAGGGGAGTTGTTCGGTTCTGCTGCCTTGGAAGCGCTGGACCGAACCGTTCAGGCGCGGCAGACTAGAGAACAGCTTTCAGGCCTCAGCAGAGGTATGCCCCCTCCTCATCGTAATCCAGGGCGCCCAGCGGCTGGCCCCAGTATTCGGCCGCTGCCTCAGGGTTCTGCTCGGCCTAGTGGGTCTTACCCTCGTCATGTAGAGCAGAGATCCAGCAGGGACTTTCGTGAGCTGGTCCGCCAACCGACCAGACACACCCGGGCCGCAGACGTTGGCCACCGCCCCCCCAGACCACCTAGGGGTCGGGGGGAGAGAAAGTGAGGCCACCAGGCCGGCCGTGGGATCTTTTTCTTATCAGCAGCTCAGTTACTGGGCTGCTCTCGCTGTGGATCCATGGGTGGTTGCCACTCTGACCCATGGTTACTGGCTACAAATCCGACGGCGGGCTCACATCACCCTGACCCTCACATCGGGTCAGGGTGACCGTCATTGCCGACCCGGTGAAAGCGCAAGCCCTGGACCAGGAACTTTCCGCCCTCCTGTCCAAGGGTGCAATCGAGGCAGTGGATCCTCTGCGGCAACCCAGAGGCAGTGGCCTCTGGGTTGCACGTTTGGCACGTCTTTTTCTCGTGCCAAAAAAGACGGGCGGATTTCGTCCCATTTTAGATCTCAGGGGACTCAATCAGTATTTAAAGGTCCTGCCTTTTCACACAGAGGTTTTGCGGGCTGTGACAAAGGGAGAATGGTTTACATCAATCGACCTTGCAGATGCGTACTTTCATGTACCTATTGCGGTGGAACATCGTCGCTTTCTCAGGTTTGCCTATCGGGGTCGCCACTGGCAGTTCAGTGTGCTCCCGTTCGGCCTCTCACTGTCCCCGAGGGTGTTCACTCGGTGCGTGAAAGCGGCCCTCTCTCCTCTGCAGGCCCAAGGTATGAAGGTTCTGCCATACCTCGACGACTGGCTTCTTTGCGCCCCGTCTCGGGAGCAGGCATCTCGCGATGCGAGTCGCCTGCTCGCTCATGTGTCCCGGTTGGACCTCAGGGTGAACTGGGAGAAGAGCTGTCTGATTCCTTCACAGACAACCACTTTTCTTGGGGTGGTTTTGGATTCTCCCTCCATGACAGCCTACCCATCTGTCCAGAGGGTGGACGGCATTCTCCGACTGGTGAGTCGATTCAGGCTGGGCAGGCAGCTTTCTTACATCGTCTTCCTGCGGCTGCTGGGCAAACTAACATCAGTTACTCGGGTTGTGCCCTTAGGTCTGCTGTCTTTGCGCCCTTTGCAGAGGTGGATCAACAGCTGGCGCCTGGATGCAAGACTACACAGGCATCGCAAACTTGTGGTAACGTGGCCATGTCTTCGTGCCCTGAGTCCATGGAGAGACAGGGCCTCCTTGTCCAGGGGCGTGTCCATGGGGGTGGTTGTGTATCGCAGGGAGGTGGTCACAACAGATGCCAGCTCCATGGGATGGGGTGCTGTGTGGCAACACAGGGCAGTCCAGGGCCGCTGGTGTCCACAGGATCGCTCCAAACATATAAATGTATTGGAGCTGCATGCTGTGCATTTGGCACTCAGGCACATTTTGCCCCACCTGCAGGGGAGGCATGTCCTGATTCGGTCAGACAACACCTCTGTTGTCTACCACATCAACCACCAAGGTGGCACCAGGTCAGCACAGCTTCTGAAGGAGTCCCAGGATCTCCTGGAATGGGCGTCTGTTCACCTATCCACCCTGCGGGCGGTGTACTTGCCAGGGCTGCACAACCAGGTAGCAGACTCCCTTTCCCGACAGGCGCCGGCTCCGGGAGAGTGGTCCCTCCACGGCGATATAGTCCGCCTGATCTGGGACCTTTTCGGTCAGGCAGAAGTCGACCTTTTCGCCACGGAGGAGTCGACTCATTGTCCTCTATGGTTTTCCCTTACAGGGGCGGCAGGTGCTCTGGGCCAGGATGCCTTGGCCCATCCTTGGCCAAGAGTCCTCCTATATGCCTTCCCCCCCCTTTCCCTGATATGGCCGACTCTTCAGAGAGTTCTCGAGGAGGGCCACAAGATGTTGCTGGTGGCTCCATATTGGCCGGCACGGCCATGGTTCCCTCTTCTACGGAGTCTGTGTCACGGTGTCCCATGGTGTCTTCCGACCAGGAGGGATTTACTGTCTCAGTTGGGGGGTCAGATATGGCATCCCGACCCTCAACGCCTCCGGCTGTGGGTGTGGCCACTGGGAGACTTGAACAGCAGCTGACTGGGTATTCAGGTCCTGTCAGGCACACTATTTTGAATGCCAGGGCATTCTCCACTCGTCAGCAATATGAAAACAGATGGCGTCTGTTTTCCCGGTGGTGCTCTGCCCACAATACTGATCCAGTAACCTGTCCGGTTCCCACTATTTTGGAATTTCTTCAGTCGCTTCTTGATGAGGGACGTTCTCCTTCTACGCTTAAGGTATATGTAGCGGCTATATCATCTTGTCATGCTGACGTTGATGGCTGTACAGTGGGGAGCCATAAGCTGGTTTCTCTTTTTTTGCGTGGTGCTCATAGGCTGCACCCGCCAACAATTCCGCGAGCACCAGTTTGGGACCTGTCTTTGGTCCTCAGTGCTCTGTGCCGCCCTCCATTTGAGCCTTTGGTTCATACAGACCTCAAATGGGTGTCATGTAAAACGGCTTTTTTGTTGGCTATTGTCTGCGCTAAGAGGGTCAGTGAGCTACATGCTCTGTCAGCCCGTCATGTCTCAGATGGGGTTCAGATGGTTCTGGGATTACCTTGTGGCCAAACCCGGCGTTTGTCCCTAAAGTGCTTTCTTGTTCTCATTGTAACCAACCATTGAGGTTGGCGCGTTTTCAGCCTACGTCAGGGGAAGCTGACGATAGTTCTGAGTCACTGTGCCCAGTGAGGGCACTGGGAGCCTATATTGCAGCCACTGCTGCTATAAGGCGCTTGGACCAGCTTTTCTTGTGTTATGGAGGCCCGAGATTAGGTTGTCCTCTGTCCAAACAGCACCTCTCCCATTGGATCGTGGACGTCATCTGCCACGCCTACACTGCAGGACATCGCCCCCGGCCAGTTGGCGTGAAGGCACACTCTGCCAGGAGTGTTTCCACTTCCTGGGCAGCCTTGAGAGGGGTTCCACTGGAAGCTATATGTGTGGCGGCATCATGGGCTTCTCCGACCACGTTCACTAGATTTTACAATGTGAATGTGGCCTCCTCTCATTCTCTGGACCAGGTTCTTTTACAGGGGTCCTCTGGGTCTCATTGAGACCTCATTGAGGTATGTGCTCAGGATTCCTTGTGACATTGCTGGTATTAGTCATTCAGTGCTTTCAGCACCACCCTCTGGCGGTCAGTAGGGATGAAATAGAACGAAAGTTACGTATGTAACTACGGTTCTATGAATCCCGGATGACCGCCAGAGATTCTCTGTCACTCAGAATCCTTGCATTTCGCGAGAAGATTCTGTAGGAACAGAGCCTCGGATGACGTCATGCTATATAGCCTCTGACTGATCATCCGATGTGTCACAGGTGTGACTCTGTTGACATTATTGCTCGAACAGCGCATGCACGAAAGGAACATTCAGTGCTTTCAGCACCGCCCTCTGGCGGTCATCCGGGATTCATAGAACCGTAGTTACATACGTAACTTTCGTTCTATTTCATCCCTACTGACCGCCAGAGGGCGGTGCTGAAAGCACTGAATGTTCCTTTCGCGCATGCGCTGTTCGAGCAATAATGTCAACAGAGTCACACCTGTGACACATCGGATGATCAGTCAGAGGCTATATAGCATGACGTCATCCGAGGCTNCGTCCTATACTGGACGTTGCTGACTGCGTCTGCCTGCAGTTGGTCTGCTGGTCTTTTCTGTAATTGGTGACGGTAGCGTCTCGCCCCCTCTCCCAATTTCAGCCAATTTTGTGATCGTAGCTTTGTGCTGGGCTTACCTATTCTGGACATGGACAGCTCCCACTGTTGCTCGGATTGTGGAGCTGTGCTTCAGGCAGATGATGGTCATGACCTGTGCCCTGCCTGCCTCGGGCATGATCACCTGGTTGAGGCCCTGTCGATAATCCCTGCATGAACTGCAGCTACATGCCCCATGCAGTGAAGGTGGCTCGACTGGCCCAGTTACGCCCCGAGTGTGGACACGACCACGACCTTCCACCTTCTGGGCAGGTGGCCGTACCTAGGTGCTCTAAGCGCAGGACTGAGGCCACAGCCTCTGTGGCTCCTCCTAAGAAGAAGCGAGCTAAGTCTGACCAGGGTCTTTCCACAAGGGTTGAGCGGTTGTCTGCAGAGTTGGCGGAGATGAAATCCCTTTTTCAGGCACGTCAGGTGGAGGCTCCCCTGACTGGGTTCCCTTCCCCACCTATGCCAGAGTTGGCTGTGGAGGACGATGTGCTGTCTTTGGCTGCCTCTGCCTCTCACTTTGGGAATGAGGAAGAGGAGGCACAGTCGTCTCGCGCTTCGGGGACTGGCTCACACTCTTCATCTCAGAGTGTAGCTAGTGGGGCTGGTGACAGCTCAATACGAGACATCATGCGTATGGCCTTGAGACAACTGCAGCTGGATGTCCCGCAAGAGGTGGACTCCGCTCCTGGCAGTGCCTTTTTCAGGCGTGGCCGAGGCCCTACTCCCTTTTCTGTCCCTCCATCGGAGGAGTACCTCAGGGAGTTACATGCTTGTTGGCGGGACCCTAAAGCCTTTTCGAATCTCTCCCCAGATGGTCGAGCATTGGCAGCTATGCATGAGTCGGTCAAGGCGGGCTTGGACCGCATGCCTGCGGTTGAACCTGCTGTTGCTTCGCTCATCGTGTCTCCAGATGAAGCACTGCGTGATGATGTTCGGTGCCCGCGGGCTCAATGTCGTATTACAGATGACTTCCTCTGTAAGGCGTATAATGCTGGAGCACGTGCCGGCCGCCTTGGCAATTCCTTGGCGCACCTCATGTTTGCCCTTTCTGCATCCCTTCAGGATACCGGTGGGGCAGATGCAGCTGTTGGCTTTAGCGAGGCAGCGCTTCAGGCCTTTGCATTGATGTCCAGGGAACTTGGGCGTGTGATGTCTTTTCTGGTCCAGGCTCGCCGACAGGTCTGGTTGGCTCAGTCCACGTTGACTGAAACGTGCCGTAGGACCCTCCGCAGTGTTCCTGTTGTGCCAGGGGAGTTGTTCGGTTCTGCTGCCTTGGAAGCGCTGGATCGAACCGTTCAGGCGCGGCAGACTAGAGAACAGCTTTCAGGCCTCAGCAGAGGTATGCCCCCTCCTCATCGTAATCCAGGGCGCCTAGCGGCTGGCCCCAGTATTCGGCCACTGCCTCAGGGTTCTGCTCGACCTGGTGGGTCTTACCCTCGTCATGTAGAGCGGAGATCCAGCAGGGACTTTCGTGAGCTGGTCCGCCAATCGACCAGACACACCCGGGCCGCAGACGTTGGCCACCGCCCCCCCAGACCACCTAGGGGTCGGGGGGAGAGAAAGTGAGGCCACCAGGCCGGCCGTGGGATCTTTTTCTTATCAGCAGCTCAGTTACTGGGCTGCTCTCGCTGTGGATCCATGGGTGGTTGCCACTCTGACCCATGGTTACTGGCTACAAATCCGACGGCGGGCTCACATCACCCTGACCCTCACATCGGGTCAGGGTGACCGTCATTGCCGACCCGGTGAAAGCGCAAGCCCTGGACCAGGAGCTTTCCGCCCTCCTGTCCAAGGGTGCAATCGAGGCAGTGGATCCTCTGCGGCAACCCAGAGGCTACTATTCAACGTATTTTCTCGTGCCAAAAAAGACGGGCGGATTTCGTCCCATTTTAGATCTCAGGGGACTCAATCAGTATTTAAAGGTCCTGCCTTTTCACATGCTCACGACGACAGAGGTTTTGCGGGCTGTGACAAAGGGAGAATGGTTTACATCAATCGACCTTACAGATGTGTACTTTCATGTACCTATTGCGGCGGAACATCGTCGCTTTCTCAGATTTGCCTATCGGGGTCGCCACTGGCAGTTCCGTGTGCTCCCGTTCGGCCTCTCACTGTCCCCGAGGGTGTTCACTCGGTGCGTGAAAGCGGCCCTCTCTCCTCTGCAGGCCCAAGGTATGAAGGTTCTGCCATACCTCGACGACTGGCTTCTCTGCGCCCCGTCTCGAGAGCAGGCATCTCGTGATGCGAGTCGCCTGCTCGCTCATGTGTCCCGGTTGGGCCTCAGGGTGAACTTGGAGAAGAGCTGTCTGATTCCTTCACAGACAACCACTTTTCTTGGGGTGATTTTGGATTCTCCCTCCATGACAGCCTACCCATCTGTCCAGAGGGTGGACGGCATTCTCCGACTGGTGAGTCGATTCAGGCTGGGCAGGCAGCTTTCTTACATCGTCTTCCTGCGGCTGCTGGGCAAACTAACATCAGTTACTCGGGTTGTGCCCTTAGGTCTGCTGTCTTTGCGCCCTTTGCAGAGGTGGATCAACAGCTGGCGCCTGGATGCAAGACTACACAGGCATCGCAAACTTGTGGTAACGTGGCCATGTCTTCGTGCCCTGAGTCCATGGAGAGACAGAGCCTACTTGTCCAGGGGCGTGTCCATGGGGGTGGTTGTGTATCGCAGGGAGGTGGTCACGACAGATGCCAGCTCCATGGGATGGGGTGCTGTGTGGCAACACAGGGCGGTCCAGGGCCGCTGGTGTCCACAGGATCGCTCCAAACATATAAATGTATTGGAGCTGCATGCTGTGCATTTGGCTCTCAGGCACTTTTTGCCCCACCTGCAGGGGAGACATGTCCTGATTCGGTCAGACAACACCTCTG